CCCGCTGCTGTGCACAGAGGGGTTTCTCCCTGTTGTCTCGGCACAAGTGGTGGAAGGAGCTGGGGAAGCTTTCACGCCAAAGGGCAGCCATCTGCTGAAGGAAGAGCTTGCTTCCAGGGGTGAGCAGTAGCTCGCATGGGTTTGCACGGGGTTCTCTGCTGCGGTGCAGAATACGCAGCTTTAACGTGTGGCGTCCCTGACTGCGCGGTGCAAGCAAAGGGCGCCGAGGCGGCAGAGCAGCCTTCGTAAGCAGGCAGTTCGCTGCCTGTTAGAAGAGCTTTCCGAAGTCATCCTGTGTGTCTCTCTGGAGAAGAGAAATCATCGTGTAATGATTTGCTGATAAAGAAAAAAGTCAGTGCAGTCTTTTGCCCCAGGTGAGCAATACTTGGGATCTGTAATACTGCTTTTTTCATTGATGCCACCAAGACATACACACATTTCCACAAATACTGAAATACGGCTGTGTTGACGAATGGGTCTGTCAGTTCGTTGAGTCTCTTTTGGTGACCAGTCTGTCAGGACGTCTTTCTGTCTTCTGCTGGCAGTTACAGACACGATAGCTTACAGTCAAACCTTGTGTCATCCAGCCTGAAATTGCTGCATGTGACGGACCAACTGTTGCAAGTCAGTTAATTTGTTTCACAAATCAGAAGGGCTTTTCACATGGAAAGCTTACTTTTTTGTGGGGATAGTAGAACAGAAGACAACTAACTAGGAGCTCCAAGGAAGGGGAGCAGGTGGCACGGCTGATGAATTTGTCTGATAGTCTGCTCCCTGTCATGCTTTCAGGAGAGCCACGTAGCACCCACTCGCTCCCGTCTCCTACAGGCATGTGCGTCCTCTCCACCCCAGGATGCCGCTTACCGGTGTGTAACTGGAGGTGGGAGAGGGGGCACCTACAGCGACCGCAGCCCCTGCGCGCATTTGGGTTAAGCTGCGACTGAGATTGCTTGTATGTCTCATCACGTGACTGGCCTTGTGTCTACCGCTTTACAGATGATACCAGCGTTGTTTTTATCTCACTAGTGGGTTCTCGTTTAATTTATATATATATAAAAAAAAAAATCCCCTTTAATAAACCAGCTGGCTTTGGGTGGGAAGCGTGCTTTGCTAAAGAAAAACATTTGTCTTTTCAGAACATCTGTCGTAGTTTAAATAAAAATGAAAAAGCACCCTTTAAATGGTATTTTGATATGTTTTCCAGTAAACTTTAATTCTGGATTATATCTAAATGAATCTTGATTCCAAGTCATTCATCATTTTCTAATACAATAACCATGCAAAATGGTTACCAAAAATATTGTTGTACTTAATGTTTACAGGCTATCTCTAGTTAACAAAAAACTCATTCTGATTCTTTGGTATAATTGTGAAAATAGTTCACAAATGAAGATTTCCTTCTTGCTAATTTAAGCTATGTTTTAAGTAAAATTTTTAATAAAACTTTTTTTTTTTTAAGGGGACAATACACCTGTTCCGCAAATCACAGAGATCGTTGGTTGGAAAGTTAACACATGAATTTAGGTTGGTTGCAGCAGATAGGAGGGTAAGTATTTCTTTTAAAAAATGAATAATAATAGTAATAATAAAGACATTAGCTGTGATAAGTTAAAATACATTATTAACTTGAGTATATTTTAAGATTTTTTTCTTTGAAATTTTCTGTGTATGCTTAAAAAGAAATCCAGCTGTGAAGCTGGATTCCTTCCTGTGCATTGTCCCTGTCAGTTAGTGCTCTCCAAAACTTACATTTAATGAGTTCAGTAGAACTGTGAAGATGCACAGATGTTTTTGGGACTGAAGTTCTGGCACAGAGAAAGGAACCTGTTAATAGGAAGTTGTGTAAGTCTGCATTCAAAAGTCAGACGGAGCGTGCTGTACTCAAATGCAAATATTATACAGCGGTGACTTTTTTTAGTCCATGAAGGTATTTTTAACATGATGCACAAGCGCTGTTTGTAAACGAGATTTGAGACAATATGTAAAGTTAAAAACAGAATACGGGCTTGTTTTGAAATGTAAATTTTTGGGAGGGAGGACAAGCCATTTCTGCTTGCATGATGAAGTACTGCAATATTGTTGTTTACAACCAGACAGATATATTTTTGTCTTGTAAATTTTGGAAGATGTAAAATATGTATTTATTCTCATCAACAGTCCTGGAAGATCTTGCTGTTTGGTGCTATAAATTTAATATGTATTGGATTCCTGCTAATGTGGTGCAGCTCTACGAACAGCATAGGTAGGTGGCTCTCTTGTACTGAAACTACAGCCAGCTACTGTGTGTTTTCTTGGCTTGTGAAGTTCCAACATACTATAAAAGCAAAGTTCAGCACATAATGGAGTTAGGTGGCTGCACAGCAAGGTTTGGAAAGTGCTTCCTTTTGATTTGCTGCGGTCAGTTCAGAGGCATTTCTTACAGGCAAGCGTGGATGGGTGGAAGCCCTTCAAAGCTTGCAGGGTTTTTCCAGACCTGCTGGTCGTTTTCTTCCTGCAGTAACTTCTTCAACTTTATGGTTGCAAAAAAATAGACTTCGAAGCTAGTCCTCAAACCTCTTCCGTATATAAATTGTGCCAGTGACACAGAGACGCTCACTGTTAGCTGAATGAAGATGTTTGTGGTGTGGCAAAAGGCTTCTCCGATTCTAGGAATGCCACTTCTCAATATTTTGTATATCTTCTACTTTTCTGTAGGGGCTCCAAGGTGCTTCCCATCATCTATACTGAAAGTAGAATGCCATATGTTTTTTATTTGTGACATGGGTTTTCTTGCAGTTTCAAGATGGGTCGGAGAAGCAAAACAAGTAGAAAATTCTGTTGAACCTGTTTTCGCTGCAGTAATGCACACAGGAGATCTCTTGCTTTGGGGGTGATGTGTTACTAGAAGGTCTCCTGACTTTTCTGTATTTAAATTCTTAGTCACAGCTAGGTCACAAGCTTAATACCATTTGTATCTGGGCATTATTAAATGCTTTATTAGAATTAGGATTGCCATAATCAACCTGTTTATGAAGTTAAATATGTTGCTGTGCTTAGGTCATTCATGTTATATACACGTACAAAAGACAGAAAGACTTGCTCTGTCAGCAGAGACCGTTTATGTAGATAGAAGGTGGAGAAGAGCTGCACAAGAGGGACTTAGAAGAACAAGTGATTTATGCATTGAAAAATAAGTTTTAATATTTGCTGGGTTTTTTTACAGCTTTAACTGCTTACACATATTTGACAATTTTTGACCTTTTCAGGTGAGTAGTTTCCCCTTTTAGTCTTACTGTTAGTTTGTGCTTGTCTGCATGTATTTCTATACATATAAAATTTATTTACAGATATAAACACATATTAATTAGTCGTCAGTATAGAAACACTAACTGGTTTAAATATAGCTTAAATGAGTATGAAATTGTACATCACAATAGATGATGAGAAACACCATAGCTTACTGAGAATGACTGGTAACAAATGAGTTCAGTCATGGATTTCTCTGTGCAGATGTGTTGACAACATAAAACAGAATCTAGCATCAAACTGTTGCCTAGAGGTTCACTCGGAACATTTCCCTAATGCCACAGTAAGTGGTTCTGAGGTATCCCTCAGCTTAAGCATAAGGAAACGAGGAGTATGTTATCCTATTTCTACTTAAAAATATTTCAAGAGCTAGATCCCATGCACTCTTCCAATAAGGTCACTAGATATTTTTAGTATTTTTCCTGTTTCCTAACAATATGATGTTAAAACTACTTCAAGTTTGAAAGTTCTGAACGCTTTTGATAGTACAGACGTGAAATATATTGAATTCTTATCTGAGATGCAGATTGGTAGCAGTGGTTGGGAAATAAACTGCATAAAATGCATGTATTTTGTAATTATTAACCTACATTATCTTCTTTGCTAGCTCACGAGCGTATAAGAAGTATGGATCAGCTATTTGCACTCTGTTTTGCCCACTACAATCTGGCTGATAGTAGAACATTTATAAATAACAGCAGCAAACGTGCAGAAAGGAAAATGAATGGTTGATACAGGCACAAAAATACTTAACTTGATCTGTGACTGCATTAGAATTGTGATATAACTTCAATGGATCTTGTATTTCTCTTAGAATTTTGTATCTGCCAAGTTTTATCATCTTGACTCAAAGTACCTTTTACACTTTGGGTTTTGGTGTTGTATTTGTATAGGGGTGTTTTTGTGGTTTGTTTTGTTTCGTTTTGTTTTTGTATGTTTTAGTTTTAGAAGTGGAATACCTGGCACTGATGTACTAGTTTAATTAGGAGACGGACTAGAAGATTATTCTAACTCACAGCAGTCTCTTTGAATAGTTTTGATTTGTTGTAAGGGAGAACAACGCTCAGTAATTCTGCTGCAAAAATCAACTTCTGGTTCTTTCATTTTTGTCATCTTCCTGGTAATTTATAGTAGTTTTACAGAGTATATGGATTTAGTATTTTGTGTATGAGCAGTATTATTTCCTCTGCTTTTGCTTTTACTCCACACAGCTGTGTGATCAGGTTGTGAGGATGTGATTGTTCAGCAGCTGTGGGGATGAGTTCTTGATCCGGTCTGATTTGATGTTGTCATTAATTAAGAAAGGGCTGCATAAAGGCACAGATGGCACTGAATCCGGATGGGTTCCAATACGAAAAAATGTCCAGAGGGATCAATAGAGGAAAAATAGGCAAAGGAAATGTGGCTCATCCTAGAAAAAAATCATGCTAAAATAATTGAAATTTCAGACATGTTATATGAGAGGAAAACTTGGGAAGAAAATAGCGAGGGACGTGTGGCTGTCAGTGAATGGCCAGTGAGATTAGAGCTTCTACAGATGAATGCAGCCAAAAAAGTAAATCCGTTTTGGCCACATGTAGACAAATCACACTGTGGAAAAGAGAGGCAATACTTGGCATAGCCTGAGACTTATTCTAGAGTGCTAAATCTAATTCATGGTATATCTCTAAAAGAAGAGTTTAATGGAGAGCTTTCTTCACTGTTTCACTGGGATACAAAGGAAGTGACACAAATGTGACAGTCCTGTGATCTTGCTTATCATGTTCCTTCTCAAATGGCCTTTCTCAGGTTACAGTGTTTCTAGGCAGATTTGTAAAGGACACGGAAGAGGAGCATTGACTGGGTGTCTGGTTCAATATTTTCATAGGCTTTTGCTTTGTACTTTTCATTACAGTGTGTGACATGTGCTGTCTGGTATCACACACAGTATAAAAGGATTTTCTCAAACCACCTTTGCCAGTTAGTCAGATTCTGGGATATTGGTCTCACGTGCTCCGCGTCCCTTTCAGAACAACTCATGGAGTGCATGCAGATTAAACACTGGCTGTGGTCTTGTCTGTCAGGGCCTCGGTGGAAAAATGTGTTGCATTTGGAGTTAGGGTAAATTTGATTCAGGCTGAGTGATGTTCTACGCTGAAGAAGGTTGGTGGCAGCCTTTGTAAGTAGAGGCATGCTGTAAGCGTACAGCGTTAGGCTGTCTCCTGGTGTAAGGAATCAGACCAGCTAGCATCCTGCTAAAATTATTTGCTGCCCTGTCATGGGAACAGCTGAGACCTCATTGTGCAGTCTGAGTTTTATTTCCGAGCACAGCCTTTTGTGGATTCACTGGAACTGTCGCTGTGACAGTGGTGGAGGTGTTGAGTTCACGGTAAGACGTGGTTATATTCATTTGTTCAGTTCTGATGGCTAAAGTGTATATTTGTAGATTAACCACTTTGTAAAGGCTGCAGTTATTTATCGGAGTCTTAATTCTCACCCTTTTTTCAGTTTGATAACATGTCTAATAAGCTACTGGGTAATGATGAAGAAACCCAGCCCAGTCTATTCATTTGGGTGAGTACTAATAAGAAGATACAGTGTTTGCTAATACGACGTTTGATACGTTGCTGAGTATGATTGCCTGTATCCCCTAACAGCCATAATGAATAATCTGGGTGGAAAAGAGCCTAAAAGTAAGGAGACCCGAGACTTGTGCTGTAAAGAACAGTTACACAACAGGGGAGGAGAGGAGAGGGGAGGGGCAGGGAAAAGAATTAAGAAATGCTTAATTTTAAGCTGTTTGTTGTTAGTGGAGTGTTGGCTTAAAAGAAACTGAAAATAATGCCTGTTCCATAAAACTTCCAGTTTCTTCCCATCTATCTGCTCTTGAAAGAACTGGAAATAGGAAGTCTGTCCTGCTGGTTCCTGCACAGACCAGAATGCAATTGATGCATTGTTCCATGTTCAGTGTTGCTAAACTTAATTCTCAAATTTCAGGTTTGAAAGGTTTGAAGTTCTAGCCGTATTTGCATCTACAGTTCTGGCACAGCTTGGTGCTCTTTTTATACTGAAGGAAAGGTAGGGATACGTACATTTTCTTTGTTTTTTTGTTATGGATGAAGATATTCCAGATTGAGCAAAAGCATATGCATTCTACAAATGCTATCTGTAAAGAGATAGTGTAGAAGAAACTTGAGATTTTAAAAAATATTGCTAAACCTTACTGCTCACTTGTATTGATTACAGTACACATAGGCTTTAGATGAAATGACAGGAATTAATAAATGTCATTAAACAGCTTTCAAGAAAAAGACTCAATGTTCTTAAGAATCATATTTTCTGAAAAGTTAGGCATTTAATGCATTTCCCTATGTATCTTGACTTTTAAAAATCATTAATAAATAAAACTGTTTTGCCTTTTTTTTTTACTTCAGTTACTTCCTGAAGTAAAGCAACTTCGTAATGTAGTAAGGATCTGAATGTTTAAACTATCAACTTCATCAGTCTCTCAAAATTTGCTCGAGTATTAATTTGACATAGCATCTATGCTTGGAAGCATTTGTATTTCAGGAGGTTAGCTTAAAAATTATTTCAGTCTTTAAAAATGAAGAGGCTTTTGTTAACTTCTGGTATTTAAAACTGGGGCAGTGTACCTTCCATTTCTCTATTCAAAGGCCCTGTTTTCTCTGTAAAGGGCTATTTTAATGACTGAGCAATTTTATAGGATAGGTTGACCTGTTGTACTGCCAGTGCACTGGGGTGAATTCTAATGATGATGCACTGCCAAAGCCTCCAACTCTTCAAACATCAGTTTTAGGAAATTCCCAAAACTTACCACAGGTTTTCCTGTTACAGCTGAAGCTCGTTTCTTATTTTACTGGTGGGTAAAAGAAGGTTTGTATCTCCACCACAGTATCCAACATTTACTTTATTTGGCCTTGCTTAGTGAGAAGCTGTAAGTCAGGGATTTCAGACTTAGTTTGTTGTGGTTACCAACATCATTAGCGGCAGTAGCAATATTTTTTTGCATGTTCATTTACAAGCATCTTTTTATTGTGTAGGCAGCATTCATGGCAGCTAGCACCTGTGTGACACAGCTTGGAAATAGCTGGAAAATCTAAATTACACCCTGCTTCATTTCAGTGTTAATTGTTTTCATCACTTATAAAACTTGCTGTGCTTATTTAAGCAATTAATTTTTTTTTTCAGTATTGTGTCTGTCAGTTTTTGTTTATGAATGGCAGCTAATTCTTCAGAACTGAAAAAATGTGCTTCAGGTATCAAGGTTTTATTGTATGAATATAACTCGAATTTTCAATTATTTTTGTAGTGCGGAGCGGTTTCTGGAACAACCTGAGATACACACGTAAGAAATTATTTTGCAATGTAAAATGATTATTTTTTTTCAGTGTCCCTTTGTGTTTCTGATTCTTCATCTAGCATGTAGTATGCAAGTACATTCAACACGGAATTGGTTTTGGTAGTTTGGCATTGGTTTCCAACTATGTGCAAGCTATATTGCAAACCGTTTTTTCAAGATGCAATTGAAGTGTGATGCACATGCTCTCTTAAATAATGTTTTAATTATATATGGCTGGGTTTGCTAGTTTAGTCGCTCTCATTTCTTATGGACATCTCTTAGGGGGCCTGGTGTATTGGGGGGGGAGGATGCTGTGATCTTTGGGGAACTGGAATTGTTGCAAAGGTGGTGAAGGTTATAAAGAACATGGGGAAAGGAAAAGAATGTGTTATGGGGCAAAAGACTGGGGCGTGGGGTGCACGGTGAAATTGTAGTTCTCCTAGGAAAGGGTAGGGGCGTAGGGCATAGTTCCATAGGAAACGAAGCTTTTTTAGCCCTGCTGCTGCGGGGACGATGTATTTATATCTCCAAAGGGCAAACATATACGTGTGTGTGTGTATGCAACCGGTTAAGAACTGTTGCTTAGCATTATGTACAGCCTAATGTGGTAATGCTGACGTACGAAGTTCGATGGATTTTTAATCCATATAACCCTTAAAATTATAATTTTAATGCTGCCAGTTATTAAGCATTATACTAGCTTAGATTCCTTTTGGTTTACGTCTCAGTGAAAGATACCAAGCAAAGTATTTTGGTATTGTTACTAGTAGTTACAGCTTGATTTCATGTTTTGTGATGATGTGAAATTAAGATACTTTTTTTTCTCTCTCCTCCTTAGAGGGCGACTGCTGGTTGGTACTTTTGTGGCTCTCTTTTTCAACTTATTTACAATGCTTTCCATAAGGAATAAGCCTTTTGCTTATGTCTCTGAAGGTATGTGATAAATTAATCTCTAACAAGAGTTAGGAAAAGATTTTAATGTTCCTATTTTTATCAAGGTATAACTTGTCTGGTAACTTTCTTAACTAGCGGATATAATAGTAATATGACTGTTAGCTCCATTAATACAATTTCATGCAGTTTAGAATTGCCATCTGAATTTCAGCTCTAGTTTGCTCTCTGAGTAGCGTGTAGTCATTAATGCGATAAGCTGAGTATCATTTTAATGCTGAAGTACCTGTTATTTTCAGTCTTTTGGCTTCAACCAGTGAAGGTTGTCTGACAGGTATCAGAACTTTGAAGACAATTTATGGATATATTAATGGATTAAAAATAAATAATCGTAATAATGCTTCTTAATAGCTCTTTTGCCTGGGACTTTTTC